GGGACACAGGCCTGGCACAGCGGTCGGGACACAGGCCTGGCACAGCGGTCGGGACACAGGCCTGGCACAGCGGTCAGGCCACGGGGCTCAGGGAGACATCCGCGCCGACAGAAGGGGGTTAATCAGAAGGGGCAGATGGCCCCCAGCGCAGGTGCAGGGGCTCAGTCCACCGCCTGGGGCACTACGTGGACTAAGCTGGCAGGGACATGGTCTGCCAAGGAGGAAGTCACCAGGCCCTCACTAGGGAGCCCGCGGGCTCCTGACACCCCAAAGCAGGGGCCGGGATTCCTGGGCCGTCCCTCACAGGGTGTCCCTCGTCCCCGTGCGTCCCTCGTCACCTTTGTACCATCTACCCCTCTGCGATTGGAGTCCCCCTGCTGGGGACCCTGGGGCCCTGAGCCTCGCCCTGGTGCACGTCACCACATGGACCACCCTGCCTCCCCTGTGACCCCCCCAGGCCGCAGGCCACCCACGCTCCCGCCGTCCACATCTTCCTGTTTCCAACCACAAGGACGGGGCTGGAAATCAACCATGGGTGGAAAAATGGAAAATCCGCAGATGTGTGGAAACCCAACATCACAACCTTAAACAACCAGTGGGTCAAAGAAGACGTCGGCAGAGAGGCCATGCCCGGGCTGAGGTGAACGGGTTGAAATCAAGTGCTCGGGGAGCAGCCGCAGGTCGGCGGGACTCTTGGCTGCAAACACATGGACGAAGCAGGCGGCTCTGGTCAGGCCCCGGACGCCAGCTCCCAGCCAGCCGCGGAAAGGGCAGAGATCAGCGCGGAGAGGAAGCACAGAGAGGGAAACCGACGACAACCAGCCTTCCCGGAAGTCGCCTCTTTGAAAACATCAACAAAGCTGCCACGTCTGTAGCTGAACTCAGAGGACAGGAACCAAAAACCAGATGACTAAAATCAGAAGTGAACTTGGGAACATCGTTATCAACTTTACAGAAATTACAAGGGTTATAAGAAGAGGTGGGGAACTATTGTGCCAACAACTGTGGCCACGGAGACGATCCGATTCCTGGAAGCAGAAATCACCCGCACGGGGCGAGAGGAAACCGCGGATCTCCCACAAAGTGAGACAGAGTCGGCCTTGGGAACCGCAGGGGAGACACGAGCGGGTCTGCAGACGGGGCCGAGGTAAGACCGACGGGACCCGCGCTGGGG